AATGCAGGACTCATGAAGGAACATGAAGAGGTAAACAGTAAAGAGAAATCATAAGAGACTTATTAAGGTTGAACTGTTTACATTCCTGCATGGAAAGATGATATTTGTAACTCATGAGACCTTTGTCAGTATTAGGGTAGTTGGAGGGAAAAAATTATATGTATGTATGTGTGTATATATATATATATATATATAGATAGATAGATAGATAGATAGATACATAGATAGATAGATAGATAGATAGATAGATAGATAGATAGATAGAGGGCATAGGGTGAGTTGAAGATGAAAGGGTCATATCTGGAGAATAAAATTAAGGAGTGAGAGAGGATTATACTAGGAGAAGGAGAAAGGGAAAGGTAGAATGGGGTAAATTATCTCACAAAAAAAACAGAAAAGAAAAGGCTCTTATAGTGGAGGGGAAATAGGGGAAGGTGAGAGGGAATGAGTGAATCTTATTCTCATAGGATTTGACTTAAGGAGGGAATAACATACACACTCAGTTGGGTATGGAAATCTGTTTTACCCTACAGGAAAATAGGAGGGGAAGGGGACAAGAGAGTAGGGAGATGATAGAGAGGAGGGCAGATTGGGAAAGGGGGTAATCAGAAGCAAGTACTTCTGAGGTGGGACAGGGTCAAAATAAAGACTAGAATAAATGGGGGGGGCGGGATAGAATTAAAGGAAATAGAGTTAGTTTTTCACCGCATGTCTACTATGGAAGTGTTTTGCATAACTGCACATATATAGCTTGCCTTTTCAATGAGGGTGGGTGGGAAGGGAGGAAGGGAGAAAATTTGGAACCCAAAGTTTTAAAAACACATGTTTAAAAAAATTGTTTTTACATGCAACTCGGAAATAAGAAATACAGGAAATGGGTTACAGAAATCTATCCTGCCCTACAGGAAAATAGAAGGGGAAGGCAGGGAGAGTTAGCAGGGAAAGAAGACTAGGGGAAGGGGTATTCAGAATGCATGACATCTTGGGGTGGGGGGAGGGGCGAGATAGGGCGAAAATTTGGAACTCAAAATCTTGTGCAAGTAAATGTTGAAAACTAAAAAAAAAAAAAAAAAGGAAAAGAGAAAGCAAGAAAACAAAACCCCTGTTAAAAATTTGCATAATCAAGCAAACAAATTGCCAAGTTGGCCATGTCTAAAAATTGCCTCAATCTGTATCCAAATCCATCACCTCTGTATTAGGAATTGGGCAGTATGCTTCATCTACATCCTCTGGAATTAATTATGGTTAATTGTTGTGTTCATCAGAGTTTCCAAGTCTTTCAAAGTTGTTTGTCTATACAGTATTATTGTGATGCATACTTTGTTCCCCTGGTTCTGCTTTCTCTGTGTGAGTTCATACAAATCTTCCCAAGTTTCTCTGAAATTATCCCTATCATCATTCTTATAGCACAATAAAATTCCATCATATTCAAATACCTTAACTTTTTCAGCCATTCCCCAATTAAAGGGCCTCAGTTACCAGTTCTTTGCTTCTACAAAAAAGAGTTGCTATAAATAATTTTTGTACAAAGAAAAAAAAAGAAATAAGAGTTTTGCTACCAAAAAACTACTTTATAGAGTTAGAAAAAATAATAACCAGATTCATTTGGAAGAACAAAAGGTCCAGAATATCAAGAGAACTAATGAAAAGAAATGCAGAGGAAGGTGGCCTAGCCATTCCAGATCTTAAATTGTATTATAAAGCAGCAATAATCAAAACTGCTTGGTACTGGCTAAGAAATGGAGTGGTGGATCAATGGAATAGGTTAAATATGCAAGACACAGTGGTCAATGACTATAGTAATCTATTATTTAATAAACCCAAAGACCCCAGCTTCTAGGATAAGAATGCACTCTTTGAAAAAAACTGCTGGGAAAACTGGAAAAGAGTATGGCAGAAACTAGGCATAGGCCAAAATCTCACACCATATACCAAAATAAAGTCAAAATGGGTTCATGATTTAAATATAAAAGCTGATACTATAAGCAAACTGGGAGAGCAAGGAATAGATTACCTGTCAGATCTATGGAGAACAGAAGAATTCATGACCAAACAGGAGATAGCATTACAAAAAGCAAAATAGATAATTTTGATTACATTAAATTGAAAAGTGTTTGTACAAACAAAACCAATGCAACTAAGATTAGAAGGAAGGTAGAAAATTGGGAAAGAATTTTTACAACCAGTCTCTCTGATAAGGACTTCATTTCTAAAATATATAGAGAACTAAGTCAAATTTATAAGAATACAAGCCTTTCCCCAATTGATAAATGGTCAAAGGATATGAGCAGACAGTTCTCAGATGAAATTAAAGCCATCTATAGTCATATGAAAAAATGCTCTAAATGACTTTTGATTAGAGAAATGCAAATCAAAACAACTCTGAGGTACCACATCACACCTATCAGAACGGCCAACATGACAAAACAGGAAAATGATAAATGTTGGAGAAAATGTGGGAAAATTGGAACACTAATCCATTGTTGGTGGAGTTGTGAAATGATCCAACCATTTTGGAGAGCAACTTGGAACTATGCCCAAAGGGCTATAAAAATGTGTATACCCTTTGACCCAGCAATAGCACTTCTAGGGCTATATCCCAAAGAGATCACACAAATGGGAAAAGGACCTACATGTACAAAAATATTCATAGCAGCTCTTTTTGTGGTGGCAAAGAATTGGAAATTGAGAGGATGCCCATCAATTGGGGAATGGCTGAGCAAGTTGTGGTATATGAATGTGATGGAATACTATTGTGCTGTAAGAAATGATGAACAAGCTGAATTCAGAAAAACCTGGAAAGACTTATATAGTCTGATGCTGAGTGAAGTGAGCAGAACCAAGAGAGCGTTGTACACAATAACAGCCACGCTGCATGATAACTAATATTGATAAACTTAACCCTTCCTGGCAATACAAGGATCTAAGACATCTCCAGAGGCCTTGTGATGGAAAATGCTATCCACATCCAAAGAAAAAACTATGGAAGCCGAATTGCTAATTTTTTTCTCTTCTGTTGAGTTTTGTTTCCTCTTTCTGATGGTTCCTCCTACTGGTTTTAATTTCTTCTTACAACATCACTTAATGTGAAAATATGTTTAATATGAATGTAAATGTATAACCTATATCAGATTATGTGCCATCTTGGGGAGGGTGGTGGGGTGGAAGGGGGAGAAAAATTTTAAACTCAAAAGCGTATGGAAGTGATTATTAATAAATCAAAATAAATTAATTTAAAAAAAGAAATATAAGTTTTGACAGGCATCCTTTTCTGGAATAAGTCTATTAAAAATTTGTTGATCATTGTATCTACCTTCTTCAATTATTTTCTTCAGAATATCAGGATATTTAGTTGCCATATCCTCAACTACACTGGCCACTTATCTGGTCATTTTGACACTATGTAAGTGCACTTAATTACTAAAGTAATTGAACCAGCCATTGTTTTCAGTAAAAGTTTTTTCACTTTCCACTTCATTTCCATTTTCTTTTCCTAACTAAAATAAATTTTTTTTTTGTCTAAATGACTCTTCTGATAAAGGGCAAGTGTTCTGATTTCAGTTTTCAATTAGATAAAAAAAAACATTCATTTCTATTTCTACATTCATTGTAACACTTCTAGCATTGTTATACCACACAAAAAAACTGATAGACTTTGCCACTTTTATTTCACCTGTGTGTTTTGTAACATGTGCCATGGAGTCAAGTATTCTGATACCTTGTCCTATTTTATAGTTACTGTGACTATTTTATGCTGTTTAATTATATAAAATTTTTGTTCCAGTGTAGTAACTAGCCTCTTCTTTTTTGTGCTGGCGTTGTTACCATCTCAAGTATGGTTCTTTTAAAAAAAATTAACACAAATATTGGTGTTATGATACATAGCATAACATGCATGATGACAGGAAAGTGCAGATTGACAATATAGTAGCATGCTAAACCCCTTGACTAGCTCACTATTGCATTGATTGAACTCTGGCTTACATTAAATATGACCTAGTATCATTTTATGATTTGAACTAAATCAAATTTGACATTATTCAAACACACATTAATCACAACTTTTCTAGAATATCTGACAAATAACATGATGTTGTAGTGCAGTACTTGCTCAGGGAAGTTTTGTAGTTCAAATTGGAGCAACATGAGACACTAATAATTCATTTTAACAGTTAACAAAAGTAGCCTAAATATCATATCTCTTTTATAAAGGAGGACACTGATGTTTGAGGGGTCACAAAGATGGTAAATGCTAGATCCATGTTTGAAATTAAGATCTTCACATTTCCTAAAAGGAATCTATATAGGAAATTGCAACAGGACAATCCATCTCCATTTCTCTGACTTAATCCTTCCTGCTAGGGAATAGCACCCTTTCCTTTAATGTATGTTCCTGAATTTGTCAAGGGGGAAATCTGTAGACTATGTGAATAGTGATTATTTGGAAACTGGTCTTCCTAAGATTTATATGACCTGATACAAAGTAAAGTGAACATAACCAGGAGAACAGCTTATACAATAACAGCAACATTCTAAAGATAAATACCTTTGAAAGCCTTAGGATCTCTGATCAAGAAAATGACTGACTACACTTCCAAAGGAATCATAATGAAACATGTAGTCTGCCTCCAAATAGAGAGCTCATGAACTCAGAGAGAAGATTCGAACATATTTTCTCATTCCTTCTTTCCTTCCTTCCTTCCTTCCTTCCTTTCTTCCTTCCTTCCTTGTTTCCTTCCTTCCTTGCTTCCTTCCTTGATTCCTTGCTTCCTTCCTTCCTTCCTTCTTCTTTCCTCCCTCCCTCCCTTCCTTCCTGAACATGGCTAATGTGAGAATTTGTTTTGACTACACATACTTGTAACAGGTTTTGCTTTTCTTATCTTCTCAATGAGTAGGGAATGGGAAAATGGCAGGAAAATAATCTAGAACTGAAAATAAGAAAATTGAATTCAAAAAAATGAAACTGGTCTTACTAATACTGTTTGAATATTGTCTTGCAGCTGCATTCACCATGATTGGCACTTCCACCCAATTATCTAATCAGTGTTCACAGTTTGCCATCCCTTCCTTCTGCCACTTTGTATTTCCACTCTGTGATGAGTGGTCCAGGACTCCCAAACGTAGGGAGCTGTGCCGGGATGAATGTGAGGTGCTGGAGAATGATCTGTGCCGGCAGGAATATAACATTGCTCGCTCGAATCCCCTTATCCTCATGCAGCTTCAGCTGCCCAAGTGTGAGGATCTACCACTACCTGAAAGTGCAGAGGCTGCCAACTGCATGAGGATTGGCATCCCTGTGGAACGGCTCAACCGATGTAAGCTTTGATCTCAAATTTGTCATTTTTCTTATCTACCATGTATGAATGAGATCTCATGCTTAATTAGACCTCATAACCACACTCAACTCTGTTTGATTCAGTTAGCTCTCTTCTCTTTCACTGGCAGCTTTTGAGCTCCAAACTATGTTATAGAAAGAGAAATTTTAATTTATTCTGAAAATATTTGAAAAAGACTGTCTTGTGTTTGTTTTAAAATAATAGTGACAACTTATTAATAAAAACAACTTACTGAATTTTAAAAAAATTATTTTTCCCCTTATAACTTTATGAGTTTGATAGTGCAAGTGAAATTGTTTTCATTTGAAAGGCAAGAAAATTGAGGTACAGAGAAAGTTAAGTGACTTATTCAGATCCCCACAGCTCAGAAATATCAGAAACATGACTTGAACTCACATGTTCTTTTAAAAAGGTAGAAATCTCACTGAAATCCCACTGATATCTGTCCTTTCCTACTAAAGGATAGAAGAGAGCAAGTTTATAGCCTCTTGCTTCCTTACATAGAAAAGGCTCATTCTCACTTCCAAGCTCTAATGTTCTCATTATCTTTAAATACACTTTACAGTCAAATGGTAAAAGAATATGACTCACAATAGTTTTTTCTCAATACTTCTAAGAAAGAAGACCACATAATTTTATGTTCTGAGACTGAACCTGGAAGTGGTTTATTCTGTTGTATGCGATGAGAAGAATACTACTTCATTTTCATAGATGCCCCTCTTTTGCTCCATATGCCAAAAAATTATTTGTGTGTGAGTGTATTTCCAACGTATATGAAGTTTACTTAATTCTTAAAATGGCGGGTAGTGTATTGATTCTGAATGGAATTTGGATCCTTTATTTAACTTAGAAAAAATAAATATAGCTTACTATGTAGCATTTTTACTCTAGAAGTATGAATTTGAAGTCTAATTTAATTTAGTATGTATTTATTAACTGATTTCTATTGTACTATTTTAGATGCTGGATTTAAATAATAAGTTCTCTTTGAGCTACACCTGGAAGATTCAATTACTGTGTCTCTCAGAAATTATCCAAAACTGCATTGTTCTACAGAATTCCATTTTATGTTTATGTTAATGCTATTAATTTAATTTGGCTAAATTGCAAAGGGCAGAGGGTTGAAGTATAGAGGTAATATCCCCTTAATTTTTTTAAGTTCTAAAGTCTGTTTTTTCCTTTCAGATCACCAATGCTATAATGGCTCTGGATCAGATTATAGAGGAACTATCAGCACCACTCAGTCAGGCCATCAGTGCCAAGCTTGGAATGCCCAATATCCACATAGTCATCACCTGTCAAGCGTGGATTTCCCAGAAATAGCAGGGGGGCATGCCTACTGCCGAAATCCTGGGGGACAAATGGAAGGTCCATGGTGTTTTACACAGAATAAAAACGTACGCATGGAACTGTGTGACATACCTTCTTGTAGTATGTATTATTTTTTTAAATATTGTCCAGATATTTGATGTATATAAATTTGCATTGATAATGTTCCCTATAAATGATTGAATGCTAGCTCTTTCACTAAATAATTATTGACTTTGGGCAAATCATTTAATTTTAGTTTCTTTATCTATAAAATAGAGATGATAATATCACCCTCTAAATTACATTTTATCAGCAAATTATCCAATTGGGGAGTATACTGTCACCTAATTTCTCTTTAGTTTTTGCTCATTTCACTGCCTTTTCAGCTTCTGTAACAGAATGGGCAAAGCCAGAGTGTTATGAAATTTACATTCCTTACTCAGCCTATTTGTTGACAGTTCTAGTTAAAGTTTTTTGTCAAAGAAGAATTTGTAATTAGTGAATAAAATGAGATTTTTAGATTTCAATGTATTTCAATGATCATGAAACTTTTACCTCAGTTAGCATAAATAATTGAGGATTGTGTTTCAAAATAAATATACTTCAGAGTCGGAAAGAAAAGATTTACCAGTTACTTCAACATCTTGTCAACATAGGTACTCCCTTGAAAGGTAAACAATTAATGTCTTTTTAGTGATGTATAAAATATGAATGAATCAGATTTGAAAATAATGATTTTCCTATTTATCCGAGAGAGCAATACTGAGCCATTGCTAAGACTGTGAGAACTTCAGGACAAATCTCACTATTAGAAGGAGAATCAAGAGCAGCAAGGTGGCATAGTAGATAGAGCACAGGCCTTGGAATCAGGAGAACCTGAGTTCAAATCTGGCCTGAGACACATAACACTCACTAGCTGTGTGATACCAATTGCTTCACTTAAAAAATAAATAAGGAGAATCATCACAGTGAGATTTCCCTTGACCAACATTTTTATACAAAGCAAACCTGGTCAACATTAATTTGAAATGCAATCTTGATGTAATGTAACAAAATATAAAGAGACTTTAGACTTGGGGTCTAAAGACCTGAGTTCAAATACCTGCTCTAGCCCTTTTTACTTGTATAACCTTGATTATATCATTTCATTCTTTAAGCCTCAGTTTCCTTATCTCTGAAATGAAAGGGTTAGATCAAATGATTTTTAAGGTTCTTTTTAGCTCTAACACTCCCTGTGGTCAATGAAGTAATAGAGAACAAACATTATGATACCATATTCAGTACATAGACATATTTGGGGGGAAGGTCTTGCTAAAAATTTGTCATTAGAATGCTTCTTGACTTCAAGGTGTCAAACCTGAGGTTGGAGAAGAAGCACATGAGGATCCTTTTTAAGTTTAAAAGTCAAAAATATTGACCTGACTTACAGGATTTTGAAATTTTCAATCTTTTCATGATCTGCTTCATTCCAGGATGATATGGTAGATGTACATAGTACAGGACAGGAAGTATTTGGTTATATTTTCCTCTTTCAGCTGGGAATTAACTTTCAAATCACTACAACTGCATCCAAAAGAAACAAACAAAATGTCTCCAAGTGCCTTTTACTAACTACTCATTATAGCTGAGTTTTACATTGTGATTTAAGATTTACAAAGTGCTTTACATATATTATCTCATTTGATTCTCACTACAGTGCAATGAGGTGGGTACTCCAAGGATAATTACGTCCATTTTACAGATGTAGAAAAGGCAACGTAAAGGAGTGGAGTGTCTTATCTATGGTTATATAATTCAGATGTATTAGAGTCTGAATTCAAACACTGGTCTTGCCTCACCTCAATTCTAGTCCTCTTTCTGCTATTCTTTATATTTCCTTACCAAGAACAATGTCACTAACTTATAATTCAGTAAGAATGGTGCCTTCAGTGTTAAAGGTGTTTTTTTTCTGGTATATGAAACTCTTCATGTAAAAGTGGGCAAATCATTTTACTTTTCTAGTCCTCAGATTTTTCATTATAAAATGAGGTTATTAGAATAGCTGACTTCTAAAGTTTGTTCCAGTTCTAATATTCTCTAGTTGTATCAATAAAACCTGTTTACCATCAATAATCCATAGGAAAGCAGTCTGCCAAACATTCAGTTCTATCAAATATAGATTTCTTCACTGTTTTTTATATTACCTGTCAAGTTTTTGTGACATGGAAATATTCTGTTGTTTCATGTGATAGAGCTCAGAGAAACAGTTTCTATCTAGGCTGCATCTCCCTACTGTTTCTCATACAGGTCTCTGCACACATTGCTTGCTTTTTTGTTAATGCTATGGACTGGTTAACTAGAACTTTGTCAGTTTATGAAAGTGTCATTTGCATGAGAGTGAAAATCCTATAGAGGGAGACAAATTTGTTCTTTACTTTTAAAAGGAAAAGTAAAATAATTTCAACAATACTATAGGGAAAAAATTAATGTGGCTAATATGATCCAGTGATTCAATCTTTCCTTCATGAACTCACTAGTCTTCAATGTCTTAATTGAAATTTCAGTCACCAGTGAATCATCACAGGTTGTAAAGGCTTCATAAAAGCTATTGTGAAGTGTGCAGTAACAAAAATTTCATAATTGGAACAGAATGTACAATCATTTCATTTTCACCTGTATTTAAGTGTTTATGAGGGAAAATTGTGATATGATCTTATTTATTATATGAGTAAAAATTTAAAAATAAATATACTGTACTAAGCAAGGAAAATGCATGTTAACTGCCTTTAGTTAATTCTGGCATTCATCTATTATTACTTATGATGGATTTTGTTTTGTTTCAAAGTATATAGCAAAGTATGTTATTTAAACATATGAGCTTAGCTTATGTTATTTTCCACATTTAGCATGTAATTGCTTTTTTTGTGATGTTTTAGAGGGCATATTTTGCACATTTAAATGTTTTTATGAGTGCTTCTTATTGAACAAGATCATCTCAAAAAGCATTTAATACTTATTCTTAACAGGTCCCCAGGATAGCAGCAAAATGGGAATCCTCTACATCTTGGTCCCTAGCATTGCAATACCATTGGTCATTGCATGTCTTTTCTTCTTGGTCTGTATGTGTAGAAATAAACAAAAGGCATCTGGTGCCACACCACAGCGGCGTCAGCTAATGGCATCCCCTAGCCAGGACATGGAAATGCCACTTATTAATCAACACAAACAGGTATCCTTGTATAATCATTTTAGGAGTTGACTTTAACAGTTGACTCAATATATATCCTTGTGGTATAAGGTAGTATATGTTACAGTATGCCTAATATTTAATGTTAATACTCTTCACTAAATTTTCATTTTCCTTTCTAATCTTTTGCCTTCTGGTCATAAAATCCCATTGGTACTTGCTTTTCATTGGAAGATGTAAGAGCAAATATGTTACCTTTATGTGTGTGTGTTTATATATACACACATACTAACTGAAAGAATTAGTCTTCAACAAGACTTATCTTTCTTGAATAATTAAACTTTCTTTTCCTAGAGGACAGATCAAGAGGAAAGTGGCATAGGAGTGACTGAAGTTATACAGAAGTATTTTGAAATGTCATGGATTCCTCTTCCATTTCTAGAAACCTTTTTTAATTGAAGGGATGATTTAGATAAATTTCTTTATGAGAAGAATATGATTTAGGGGGGAAGACCAGAATCCTACTTGCCTAGGGAAGGATAGAAAATTATTTATTTATTTTTAGGCGGTTGGGGTTAAGTGACTTGCCCAGGATATCACACAGCTAGTGTCAAGTGTTTGGTCTGAGGCCAGATTTGAACTCAGGTCCTCCTGACTTCAGGTCCAGCCACGTAGCTGCCCCCAACGATAGAAAATTATTAAGTAATGTGATGAGATACTATTCTAAGGTGACATGGATAGTTTATATGAAAAGAAGTTCATCAAAGCTTAATATAGTTTACTTTGGCAACTTTTGATCTGTTGGCCAAACATTCAGAGATTCAAAAAACATTTTACATTATTTGTGATTACTATGACCTATATCCACATCATATAGAAATGTCCATCTTCTATATGGCAATGAAATTTATACTTAGGTAAATGACATCAAATATTGTAATGCCACTGAATCAAAACCAAAAAATTAATAGCCAGATTGAGTTTTTTCCTTTCTATGTAAAGATGCTTCTGTTGTTACAAGTTAGGGAAATATATTATTTTGATTGTCTCTCTTTCAGGCCAAACTCAAGGAGATCAATCTGTCCACTATAAGGTTCATGGAAGAGCTAGGAGAAGACAGATTTGGAAAAGTCTACAAAGGTCACCTCTTTGGTACAACACCAGGGGAACAGACACAAACCATAGCTATTAAAACACTTAAAGACAAAGCAGAAGTGCCTCTCCGAGAAGAATTTAAACATGAAGCCATGATGAGATCAAGGTTGCAACATCCAAATATTGTATGTTTGCTGGGAATCATGACCAAAGATCAACCCATTAGCATGATATTTGGTTATTGCTCCCACAGCGACCTCCATGAATTCTTGGTCATGAGGTCTCCCCATTCAGATGTGGGAAGCACTGATGATGACAAGACAGTTAAATCAACATTAGAACCAGCAGACTTTTTCCATATTGTAGTACAAGTAGCTGCAGGGATGGAGTACCTTTCTAGCCACCATGTTGTCCATAAGGACTTGGCCACCAGAAACATACTTGTATTTGATAAGCTCAATGTAAAAATATCAGACTTGGGCCTTTTTAGGGAAGTTTATTCCGCAGATTACTACAAACTGATAGGAAATTCTCTTCTCCCCATCCGTTGGATGTCCCCTGAGGCAATTATGTATGGCAAATTTTCCATTGATTCTGATATATGGTCCTATGGAGTGGTGTTATGGGAGATATTCAGCTATGGCCTGCAGCCATATTGTGGATACTCTAATCAGGATGTCATTGAAATGATAAGGAATCGGCAAATTTTGCCCTGTCCTGATGATTGTCCTGCCTGGGTGTATACATTGATGATAGAGTGTTGGAATGAATTTCCCAACAGAAGACCAAGATTTAAAGACATCCATAATAGGCTCAGAACATGGGGTAATCTTTCTAATTATAATAGTTCAGCCCAGACATCTGGAGCAAGCAATACCACACAGACAAGTTCTCTTAGCACAAGCCCAGTGAGCAATGTCAGCAATGCCAGATACATTGGACCCAAGCAGAAAACTCAGTCTTTCCCTCAGCCACAGTTCATTCCAGTGAAAGGGCAGATAAGACCCATGGTCCCACCTCCTCAGCTCTATATACCAGTGAATGGTTATCAACCAATGCCTGCTTATGGTGCTTATTTGCCAAATTTTTACCCAGTCCAAATCCCCATGCAAATGGCCCCTCAACAGATACCTTCCCAGATGATTCCCAAACCAGGATCTCATCACAGTGGCAGTGGTTCTACAAGCACAGGCTATGTAACAACAGCCCCCTCCAACACATCTGTAACTGACAGGGCAGCTCTTCTCTCAGAGGGAAATGATGATGCTCTCAATACAGTGGAACATGTAGCTCAGAATCCTGTCCAGGAAGAAGACGAAGAAGGCTCTGTTCCTGAAACAGAGTTATTAGGTGACAATGACACACACTTGCAGATAGATGAAGCAGAAGTTCCATCAGAAGCATAGGTAAAAGAGATGACCTCTTAACCTGGTTTCATCTTCTTTATGGGGCTATTTTAAAAACTGTGATCCTTTAAGGGCTATATGATCAATTAATTGATCAGAAAACTTAGCCATCATTGACACAACAGAAAAAAATACTAAATGCAGCAGTAATGATATTCCAGAGAAATTGATGAGATTATTGCAGACTTGGTAATATAGAACTGCTGCTTTACTTTTGTCAATAATCCTTGAGAAAAAACTGCTCTAAGATAGATACTGTTGCTGTGCAACATATTGCTGAGTAGTCTTGCACATCATGTCTATCGTGATCTGTGATTGATTGTATTTTTAGTCCACAGTTCCTAAGCTGGACAGGTAGAGAAGAGGATTGCTTTGAGAGTCCTGAAGTGAGGTACCAAGATAAGCAACTTAGTGTACTTTCCCTCACTGATGTGATACAATAATAATAATGAGCCACAGACATTTGTTTCTAATAAAAAAAAACTTTAAAGATTATTTATCTCTTTTTTGAATCAAAGTGGCTCAAAACTCTGAGAAAACAGAATTAAAGAAGGCAGAGAGAACTGTTTCCAGTGAGTAATGTGGCAAAAGTTTCTAAATAAGGTTGGGGCATGAAAAAGAGCTTTCCTTTCCATTGCTGCATTACTCTTTTCTCCCTCTAGTGACTAAAAGACTTATTACTTCACAAATCAGAAGAGAAGGGGATATTTACTGTGTACCACAAACCCAAGCTTTGCAGCTCTATGTTGGTTGTCAAATATGAAAGAGATTTTTAATGTCTTCTAAATATATTAAATTGATGCCTTAAAAATTTCACACATGTATTTTAAAAATCAAATCATTTTAATGATTCTGCTTGTCTATCTGCCCACTTTACTTTCAGGGAAAGTGGCTCTTGATTTTGGAATATTCAAAAAAAATGCTATACAGAATACAGTTTTGTTCTTTTTTCCTTAAGATGAATCATGTACAGAACTTAAAATGTAATTTATATTTTATTACATTTCATATAACTTTTGTGTTGAAGTATTTTCATCTTAAATAATGATTTTGTAATTTAACTGTTTTCATTGTCTATTTTGGGATGCAATTTTATTGTATTTTATAGTGTTCATTTTTATAAAATATGAAAATAAGGTCCATTCATTTCATGAATAATTCTATAAAATCACATACACATTGTATTATGGCTAGTACACATCATAGTCATAATTTGTAAATCTAATATCTGTTGGATGCAATAAATTCATAGAGAAAGTTTGATCAATTAATTTATCTTTAGGACTCTTATTTTTAAGGTAACAATAAAATGTTGGACATGATTGATTTTCTCAAGACTGAAGCTCTCAGATTTAGTAATAAATTAGTAAAATTGTCAAATATGTAAATTTTGTAAAGATACAAGCTATTTAGAAACATTACCAAATATTTTAGAATTGATCATTTATATACATCGTATCTTAATGGTTTATATGTTAATTCAGAGTTTCATTTTTAAAGTAAGTCCCTTAAAGGACCTTTTCTAGACAATACATAGCCATTTTGTTTTCACCGTATGACCTCAAAAGAAATACAAATGTATTTCTTTAAAAGCATTTTACTTATAATTCTGATTTTGATTAGTTTATACCAGACTTCCTCATAATGACTATGAATTATTGAGGTTTTACTGAAGAAAAATGTTACATACAGGCAGAAAATAATGTAACAATAAATCACTAGGATTTGTTTAAAAGAGGTAAGGCCTAACTAAAGGTAATAGTAGAATACTTCTTTAAAAATCATGCCTGAACCAGAATGTAAATTAAAACTCCTTTTTTCCCCCACTTAATAGTTTCTTATTTTTTCCAGGTACACGTAAAGATAGTTTTCAACATTCACTTTTACAAGATTTTGAGTTTCAGATTTTTTCTCCCTCCCCAAGATGGCAAGCAATCTGAAATAGGTTATTCATGTACAATCATGTTACACATATTTTCATATTAGTCATTAAACTATTTTTCTAAACAAGGACTTAATACATCCAAAGATGCCAGCTTCTCAGAATGGTTCTACCCCTAGAATCTTTTACTGCCTTCTATTGGGAATTAAAACTCAGCTTTACTTACTTCTGAACTAGACTTTCTTAGGATTAAACTCATGAAATTTCATAATTTCATAAGCAAAATTAAGAATAGAGATGAAGCATATAAAGAGAGTGACTACTTAATTACTAATAAGCAAAATTTCCTGCCACACCCAACTCTTACTCCTTTTTCTTGGTGGGGGGAGGGCTTTATATTATATTTGTGTTACCACATCATGTCTGTCACTTTATAGGAAATTGATTATGCTTTAATCTTTTTGACTTCGTATGGGTGTTTCTATTCATTTAGGCAATTTTTTTGCTTATATTTCAAAGAATCCTAAACTGTTAGAGCTACAAACATAAGAGTCAAATCATCTCATCTATAAGTATTTTTAATAGTTTCACTTCATTTTTGACCTCATTTATTTTGTCATTTTTGCTTTTAAAATTTTTGTCTCTTGTTTTAATAGTTCTTTTTATTTAAAAAAAAATTATTCTTTTTTGTTTACTGTTCTCCCCTCGCCTTGTATGGTATTTTCATACCACTCAATCAGACAAATTGGAGACTAGTCTTTTTGAATTTTAGAGTATTTTTATTACTTTCAAGTAAAATCAGGCTAATTGTTGACAAAAGAGGCCTTAGGTTACCTGACTTGCATTGATAAAGTAGATGAAACATTCTTCTTTGCTTAACATTCCTATTTACTTAACAGAGCTTTTTTTTCCATAATGAAGAAAAAACTTTAGCCTAACCCTAAACAAATTCAAAACTAGTAAGTATCTGAGTGAAGTTTTACATATGAATTAGCAAACTAACTTTGTTATGATTCATTTGGTTTCATACATATTATAAGTCCTAGAATACTTATAATAGTTGCTTCAATTCCAAATCCCAAGAAAGGAAGAGAACAAGAATCCATCAAGTGCCTACCATGTTCCAGGCACTGTGCTAAGTTTTATGAATATTATCCCAATTGGTCCACACAGAGGTTAAGTGACATGCCCAAGGTCACAGAGCTATTAAGTGTCTAAATTTGGATTTAAACTCTGATCTTTTTTACTCCAGTCCTAGTGCTCTATCCAAAGTCTAAATCTACCAGAAAATAACTTCTTCACATTCTCCACATACATTTCAAAGAACTACATTATTTTGCAGTTCAGGGCAAAATGAAAATCATTTCACAGTATATCTCCCATTTTTACTCTGAGGACTGTAATTGGAGTACCTTTCATGACATATTTGTTTGAGTTTGAACTCTGAGTTTAAACTCAATAACTGAAATGTTTTGGAAAAGAAAATTCAGCCCTCTGTTTATAATATCATAGAAAATATTACTGTGACATTAATAATATTGGAAAGGTTTGGTGTTGCAATTCAATTTCTGTAGAAGTTTTAATATTCCCCCTACATACATGATTACACCTTGAGTAGCTGCTACCATATAGTTGTTATCAAATGAATAATAGTCCCTGATTACAGTAGCATGGGTTTAGTGGTTAGACTTAATTCAAGCATGTTGACATAAGGGATTTGTCACTTAACATATTCATGCTTATTATGTGAGGAGAGACAGAGACAACATAATATGATTACAAACCCAGTGAGGACCTAAGTGATTAAGGTATTGCCTAAGTGCTTACATATTTTTCTACTATTCCAAAACATTGCCACTGAAAAAGTATGGGAGACTTCCAGGTAAGATGAAGATGTTAAAGGTCATAGAGGATCCAAGCTTACATCAACTTACATTGATCTAAATACTGAGTATTCAAAACTGGAGGAAGGGTAGGGTAAAGGGGCATCCCATAAACCTAATTTTCATATGGATCAAAAAAAGAGAAGGATTTAACACAATCACAAACACAGAGAGAGAGAGAGATCATGGCATAGAAATACATTAAATTCAACAAGAAAAGGAGAAAGAGGGCAAAATTATCAAAATAAACTTTGAATTGGGAGCCAGATAAGCAGGGGGGAAAAGGAAAAGGATCTATGATTGAGAGTGGGGAAAGGAGAAGAGAAGAAAGACAATGGAGTAGAAATACTGCTTAATTTATGTACCAAAGTGTTAGGACGATTTCTCTTGTGCTACCTTCATATTTGTGAAGAGCATGTAAGGGCAAAGGGAGGAAAAAGTGAAATAGGACAGAGAAGAGGAAAATACATAACTAATTATTAACTTCAACATGGATGGATAAACTCAGACACAAATGAAAAGAAGATAAGAGAATAGGTAAGAAAGCAGAGTCCAACAATATGTTGTTTATAAGAAATACTTGAAGCATAAATATTCACAAAGAGTTTGGAGTAAAATCTATTAAACTTCAGGTGAATTTGAACAAGAGAAGCATTCATGATTTTATATAAGGCTATATTACATATAAATGTGATGAAAAATATAGGCAAAAAACTACATTATACTTAAGGACACCATAGATAAATCAGTATGAATACTTCATGTATATGCAACAAGGATTATGGCACCTAAATTCTTTTTTTTCCGCATTAGTCATGTTGTTAAGAAGAATTAGAACCAAAGGGAAAAACCATGAAAAAGAAGAAACAAAAATGAGAGAGAGAAAAAAAAAATAGTATGCTTCAATCTGCATGCAGACTCCACAGTTTTCTTTTTCTGGATGTGGATAGCATTTTCCATCATGAGTCTTTTGGAATTGTCTTAGATCCTTGTATTGCTGGGAACAGTTAAGTCTATCAAAGTTGGTCATCACACAATGTTGCTGTTACTGTGTGCAATGTTCTCCTGGTTTTGCTCATTTCACTCAGCATCAGTTCATGCAAGTCTTCACAGGTTTTTCTGAGTCCACCTGTTCATCATTTCTTATGGAAGTATAGTATTCCATTACATTCATCTACCACAACTTGTTCAGCCATTTCTTAATTGATGGGCACCCCCTCAATTTACAATTCTTGGCTACCACAAAAAAAGTTGCTATAGGGGGCAGCTACTTGGTGCAGTGGATAGAGCATCAGCCCTGGAGTTAGAAGGACCTAATTCAAATCCAACCTAAGACACAGATCACTCTCTAGCTGTGTGATCCTGGGCAAGTCACTTAACCCCACTTTCCTTGCAAAAAAAAAGCTGTTATAAATATTTTTGTACATGTGTGTCCTTTCCACGTTTTTAAGATCTCTGTGGATACACACCTAGAAGGAGTATTGTACAACAACTAAATTCTTAAGAAAATGTTGATCAAATTGCAAGGAAATATATAGTACATATACAGTAAAACTAAGTTTTACTCATAGTTTACTGAAAATGACTATGAAGCCTGTAGTAATTAATATATTTGCTCATAGTAGAATTATAAATGGGAGACTTCAATCTAGCCCTTTGAGATCTACATGAGTATTAATTTAGAGATACACAAGAAATAAGTTGAGGAACTGAATAGAACTTTTGAAAAATTAGAGTTGATAGATCTCTGGCAATCTAAAAGGAAACACAATGGAGTTTTTATATTGTTCATTTGTTCAGTCACGTCTGACTCTTTGTGACTCAATTTGGGGTTTTCTTGGCAAGGTACTGGAGTGGTTTGCCATTTCCTTCTCCAACTCATTTTACAGATGAGAAAACAACCACACAGTGTTAAGTGATTTGCCCAGGTCACACAACTAATAATTGTCTGAGGTCAGAATTGAATGGAGATTTTAACTGAGATCTGGTGCTCTATCTACTGTGCCACCAAACTGTCCTGAGTTTCTATAGCTATTGATGACACCTTTACAAAAATTGACCATTTATTGGGTGATAAAACCTTACCTCCCAAATCCAGAAAAGCTGTAATATTAAATATATCTTTTAATAATCACCAAACAATAAAATTATATTCAATAA